GGTATGGAAAATTGCATGTGGACAAATAAACTTTTTAACTGAGACTGACTTTTCTTTCAGGAAAGATCCGAAGGATGTTGTACAGAAAGTCTGTCCATTTTACCTGACAGTTAAAAAGGAAGATATTTCTGGTTCTGGCCTGTGTCCTTCTGACTGAGTAGATGAAATGTGCCAAGTACATTTAAGTTATGATTTTTCAAAAGCAATTTTCAATGATCTTTTGATGCTGACTTCAGATAGACTACGGGAGCCTGAATTTTGGCTAAAAGTGATTGGTACTTATTGTTTGGTGGATGTCTTTCCTGTTTAGGTGGGACAGCTCATGTTATCAGTATAAGTCTCCAAAATTCATCTCCTGTGCAGCTCACTGTACTTTTAATCACAAAGAACATTAGGAGGAGGCCAACCAGAGCACAAGTATCTTGATCAGCATTCATTCCTAATGCTGGAATCAGTACTGTATACACAGCCTATCAAGGCACTGTTGCCATCTAAATGATTAATAGAAAGCCAATTTCTTTGCACAAGCCCCTTTGTAACAGGTCCAAACTGCCAGTTATCCTTGCTGAGGGAGGGAGGGAACTGTGGATCCCTGCCGCTCTGTCCATGCTGAAACTCATTCTTGGATCTCTAGTCTTTCCTTAAGTTTGTATTTTATTGACATGTCACACCAACTGTGTAAAAAGCAAAATGGGCTGGTATTAACTAAGTGATATTTAGTTATTCACTCCTAACCTCACCTGCCAATCCTAAAGGATTTTGGATTTCTTGTCATGTCTTCTTATCTACTTGCACTGTCTCAAACCTGAAAAGATTCACCTGAAGGCAGCAGTAATTCCAGGAATTCTCTCTCCAGAAGTTTTTTTTTCCCTATTTGAAGTTAATTTATCTAATTTCTGTGATTTCAGGGAAGAGGACTTGGAGGAGGGAAGGAACATAACCTCCTCCCCCAGAAGTCCAGCATGTACATCCATGTCCTGTGGGTGCTATTCAGGAATTAATTTCTTATGGAAACATCACTGGTGCTTGTTCTGTGAGCGAGCTCTGCAGCCCTTCATTAGTCACACTTTCCCATGTAAAGCTCATTTTATGTAGTTTCAGAGCCTGGGGTGTCAACCCAGAAATTTGCTGATTGAAGTCAGCAGGACAGACTTTCCAGAGTAACAAAGTAAGGCCATTGCTGAACACCACCTACCTGTATATAGCTCTCTGAAGCCAGATACAGATTCAAATAATGGAGCTGAAAGCAAAGGCCACCTTTCAGATAAAATACTTCCCTGTGATGGAACTGGTGTTCTGAGACTGAATGTAAGTACCAGTTCAACATATATTAGCACTTTAACAGATGAGAGGTGTTGATCTGAAGGTATGGTAATGAAGGAAAATATAAAAATTAAAATCTGTATTTGTCTTCAATAAGAAGAATTTTCATTAAAAATAAGGGTCTAAATATTAAAATATAGAACATGTATGGATTTTAACTTAGGATGTTTATTAACATTTTCCTAGATTTTTACAGGATTTAGAATTACATTTATTTTACGAAAACATTTTTCTTTTGATGCATGTTTTCCACTGTGTTCCTTACTTTCCTTTTCAGTGAGACAGACAGCTCTGCCCTCTCTGACTCACATCCAAAAGTCAGCAAGACTTACAGAAACTGCCCAGATAATTTAGACAGTCTTTTGCTGCCCATTACATGCTGACCTAAGCCGCCAGTATTATACCAAGTTGTCACATGTAAAAGAAGATTTAAAATTCAAGTCCTGTACACCTGAAACCTTTAATTTTCTCATATTGTTTTCCCATGTTTGCTATTCTATTAGTCCCATCTCGCCTTATATTTTTGTCCATACATTCTGCATCCCCAAATCCACACTACAGTCCAATTTCAACTCCCAGGCTGCCCCGCAGTTTCATTTCCCACTCTAATTTTCCACTTCACTGAATATGAAAGTGGTGTGCTTATAATGGGGATGTCTTTTATGTGCCATGTATGTAGTGTGAATTGTGAGTGTCCATATGATGTTATTTGTAAAGGTGCAAGTCTCTTGTTACTCTGCAGAAGTTGATATCTGTATTTTAATTATTATTGCAATAGAGACAGCTGCAAGATACCTGCCAATTTTTTCTATCATCAATATTGTAAAATTGACTCCTATGAACTAGTATATTTTAATTTTACTGTTTTACACAAATGAAGTGTGATCAGAATAGCAGAAATGTTGCAGGAGAATGGATTGCAAGCAACTTTGCCCCTGATGAGTTACAGCTGTACTAATTACCAAAGAGGAGGAACAGCCTTGCCCTTAATGGGTCACAGCTATGTCCAGCAGGGATGGGTGTTATAAAAGAGTGGGTTAGCTGGTTGAGAGGAGGGTTTGTTGTGGGGACTGTCAGGGTCTGCTTGTTAGAGTCTGCTGGTTGTGCTGTGAGGAAGGGTCAAGTGGTTGTAGAAGGGACAAGGTTGCTGCTTGAAAAAACAAGCATCCCATCTCATTTCTACCTCTGACGTGAGGTCTATAGTGACAAAATGTGTGATGAGAAACAGTGTTGTTGATGAGCCAGAAATTATCCAGATTTCTTCTTTTTCTGACAAGAATTTTGGTTGAACAGGGATCAACAGCTGGAAAAAGTGGTGACATAGCAGTTGTACTTTATATTTACTTTCTCCCTTACTTTTTAAAGATCTTATTTTGAAAAATCACCAGTCCCTTAGGAGCATTTTTCTATGAATGACTGCTATTCAGGAGAGAAACTCAAGTGAAATCTAATTTTAAAATAATACCAAATAAACAATAACAAGAAAATAGAGAGAAAATGGGGTAAATTGTAGTAAAGGATTATTAATTTTTAAATATTATCTACTTCAAATTAAAGCATGAGCAATACACAGAGAAAAATTTGCTTTGAAACACATATTAACAGAGAAATTTTCTCTGAAGTATTAATTACAATACATGTTATATGCAACAGAGAGTATGGAGAGAACAGCCTGATCATTTGCTGATAATTACTTTCCAAAATCTACTTGATGGAGAGCAACACACACATTGATAAACCAGCCAGTGAAAAATCACTGGCTTTTGTCAAAGGCCATTAAATGGGGCAAGGCCAGTGCAGGTCAACTGACTGAGGAGGAGACTCCATCAGTACTGAATGGAGTACTGACTAAGTACACATCTTCATTTTCCTCACCCACGGGCATGAAAAAGCATTTTTGGTCTTGGTGATAAGGATTCTACTACTATATCAGACAACAGGGATCTCAAAGACACTCAAAGACATAAGAGTTTCCTCCCTGCCTCTCCTAGCCCAAAGGCAACCAAATGCACTCTGTTCTGCCAATACTTCCTACCTTTGTTACGCTTTGGTGAAGAAAATGCATGAGTAATCAGTTAAGAGCATCTCTTTTCATTATTTTTTAAAAATCATTCTTAAAGTGGTGGAATCATAAGCCAAACTGGCCAGAAAGAGTTACTCTGAAGAAATGAAAGAATACTTCAAAGAATTTGGGAGCCCTATGCACACTGAGATTTTGTTTTGATCTTTCACCAGTTTAACAGCATTGTAAGACATCATATATAAGATGTCTTACACCATTATAATCTTTTAGACAAAATAATTTCCTTGGTTGCTGTGATATGTTTTATTTGGTTTTCTGCATTAGTTTTGGGTTTGGGGTTTTTTGTGCAATTACTTTTTTCTTTCTAAATAATATTTGCATGAGAATTAAGTACCTAGTCTTACTACACATTACTGCTGTTGCAGTTGGCATGTTAAATCAACTTAATAGCACAGGAAAATGTGTCAGGCACATGTGGGACTGAGCAGATGTCAGAAATACATAGTCTCAGGAAACACAGCTGGACTTACTAAATGTATGAGACATTTTGTTTTGGCAGGTAGAAGACCTTCTGATCTGTGTTTTGAAAAATCAATGAAAAGTATTATGAAAATAGGACAGTTCCCTATAGAAGGATACATGCTCAGGATAAGAGAGTTTAGTTCCAGTGTTTTGCTTTATCTTGCTTTGCTATGTTTGCTGCTGGATTTCTACTCTCCATATCAGGGAACTCCATGCTTGGCCAAACAAAAGAAATAAATTCCAGGAGTGAATATGGGCCTTGGTATCTAGAAAGGATGACTTTGCCAACCTTGAGTGACTGGTGCTACATGATCCCTAGTAGAATTTGGGGTTTTTGAGTGTCAGGGGAGGACAGAGGTTTTTGTTATGACTGCCCTTCAGTTTTGACTTGAAGTTGTAATTTCAGACATAAGATCAAAAACACGAAACCAGTCTGGAACCAGTTTACTGCTGTTAGTTGCTACACTGAGACTGGAGTGAGAAATGGATGGGAGGAGGATGTCGAGAGCAGGAGAATGGAAAGTAAAGTGTAGCATTCAGCAGCACAGGCATGGTAACCCCAGAACAGCTGATGGCTGTGCCAGAAGGCCAGTCCAGGCTGAGCTGGGGGGGTGCAGGTCCCTCAACCGCAGCACCCATTTGCTGCACGTGATGCTGGAGCCTCCAAACCAGTGAAAAGTGTTAAAGGAGCTTGGACTTGGGAGTGACTGACTTGGTGGAAACTTCTAGGGGAGTAAGTAGGTGCCTAAGGTTCTCCGGCTGTACAAGGAGGCTTATGCCAGCAGTGGACGCAGCCATCAGCTGTGCTTCTAGAAATCATCATCCCCACTATCCGTCTAGATATGTTTTATTATCTAGAGGAATTGCCTCATCCCCAGAAGACAACGCTACCCGCCTTGGGAGATCCCGACAGCTGCCTCCCCGGGGGCCGTGGACGGACGAAGGCAGGGGGCCCGCATCTCACCTGAGGCGGCGGCGGTGGCCACGCCTCTCCCTGCTGTGTCTTTAAAGCCCTCCTCTTCCTCCTCCTCCTCTCCATCCCTCCATTCCTGCCTCGCCGCTGCCGCTCGTAGCTGCTGGGCTCTGCCTCGCCCGCTTTCTCTCCCCACCCTCCCAATCCCCGCCACCGGCCATGGCTGACATGAAGACCGGCATCTTCGCCAAAAACGTCCAGAAACGCCTTAACCGCGCCCAGGAGAAGGTGCGCTCCGGGGCGGGGGAACTGCTGGGAAGGGGCGGAGGGGGATGAAGAGTGCGGCGGCGGTGCCGGGGTCCGCGAGAGGATGCGGCTCCGCTCGCCCCCAGCGCCCGCCACTGCAGCTTCTCCTCTCCTTGTCCGCGGGGGCGCCGGGCGGGGGCCGGGGCTGGGGCTGCCGGCGTTATTACGTAACTGACCCATTTCACCGCGCTGCCCCTGCCCCCGCCGCCCGCTCGCTCCCCGCGGGGACGCGGCACCTGCTGCAGGCCCCAGGCGGCCGCTGCTCCCTCGCCCTTGAGGCGGCGCGGAGCTGCCCGCGGGGGTGGCACCGCTCCGCACCCGGCGTGGTCGCGTTTTTGCCCCGGCCCGCGCGGGGAACGAGGGTTCGGTTCTCTTCTCTTCGCCTCGCCTCACCGCCCGCCGCCAGCCCTCCTAAGAGGATTGCCTTTCCTTTAATATCCGCGCCGGCTCATCCCCGGCTGCGGCGATCCGCCTTGCTGCAGCCGCGGCGTGACAGACACCGCTGCGTGTGATGACTGGAGCCCGCGGGGGCCGGGGTGCTGGCGCAGCCCGCGCCTTCTTCAGCGGCTGCTGCAGTTTTGGGGAGCTTTTCGGGATGTCATGAGGCTGGTCGAAACGTTTTGCAGCTGACAGCTTGTGCTGCTTAGAAAAGTCGGTACCGATTCTAGCGTTATTGTAGCCTGGAAATGAACAACGGGCCAAGTCGGGGAGAATTTATTTGCAAGAGTTCCTGATCAAAGACGAGGGCCTTGTGGGCCACTGTTTGTTTTGTTCATCTTCATTAATGAAAGCTGATAGGTATAAATGGTCCGCACAAGTAGCTCCTGTGTAGCTGTTGGGTGTCTCAAAACAGGATCATAGATACAGATATTAGGCCCAACAGAAAAGCATTTGTGTATGGCTATATGTAGCAGCTGTGTCTGCTGTTAGTACAGTTTGCAATAAAGCTGTTGCCAGTATGTATTTTGCAGACATAGTTGTCAGTACATGGTGCAAGTCATCTCTTTTGAGGGTTAATAAAATCTCTATACCCCTCTAGCATATATCCTGTATTGTTTTGCAGCTTAGAGACTAGGGCTCTTGCAAATTAAGAAAGATTATTTTATGAGCATATTTCTTATACTTCACTGCCTATAAATCTGCACTTTCTTTTTGGCCACACATTGAATTTTGTGGAGCTCCAGCAGCAGAAAAAAAAAAAAAGCAACAATTAATATGTCTTACACATAATTGCATTATTATTTAAGAATCTAATAGTTGAGGCTGTCACAGACTAGTGATTAATTTCCCCTTTCAAATACTCCTGTCTAGCTCACCGGATTATAAAGTACTAGACTTTTCAACACCAAAGTCATGATGCGTTTCCATTCTTGCAGGTTTGGGCTGCAACTGTTTTCAAGTAAAACATGTAAATCCTCTTTAATAGTTCAAAGAGATCTGATGACTTTATGGTGTGAGTTGAATTTACTTGAGTTCATAGTTGGCATTGAAGCTTGAAAATACTGTTTGTTTCCTTGTATCTTTGTCAGTATGGTTATGATTAACCATCTGGAAAAGCACTGGTGCAAGTTGTAATCACATGTACTGCTTCAAGCTCTGCGTGTTCCAGTGTGGGGGTCCTGCTCACAGAAATGTGTGGGCATACTAGAGAGAACACCTTAATGTGAATACCTGAGGTACCCCGTACTTCTCAAAGACTGTTCATGCACCAGCCCCAGGACAGTGCCTTGAGTCTGATGGGTGCCTTGGGTGCAAATCAAAGATGCTGTTGGGCTCTGACAGATGGTCTGCTCTACCTCCACTTTCGTGATCAATCATGCTAACAAGGCGAAAATTTGTCTGGCTTGATTTTCATGTATCAGTCAGGTATCTGGCAATTTTGGCTTCCTTATAGTAGCTGTGGTGGTAATTTCTTATGTCAGTGGTCTGCAAGTTGCTTATTTGCAGGGTTATTTACAAGATGTTAGTGGCCTTACACAGTCATACTACTACTGGTCTGACGCAGAGTAGGTCACAGTACCATGTAGTGCTGTATACTTGCCTCCTCCTTTCTGGTCCATGTGTTGTTATTGCATGAGCTGTGCATGTGTACTCTTTCATGTCTACATTTCTGGTTAGCTTTGAGTTCATATATGTCTATACAACATAAAATCCTTCATTATTTTTGCTGAAACTTTACTAAAAAAAAAACAAAAAAACCCACACCAACAAACCAAAAACAAAAAAAGAAAACAGGCCCCAAATGGGAATGATTGAGTTTTATTTGTTTTGGGTACTTGATGGCAACAAGTAAGTATTAACTAGGCATTGAAAATGTATGATTTGTCTGATTCTTGATGGTGTGAATAGGATCGCATTGTGATAGGTGTGTAATATCACACTGGCTTAAAGAGATTTTAAATACATTGAGTTGTTTTTATCTTGATACTTATAATGGATTTGTGCACCTTCAGTTTACTGAATGTGTTCTTATAGATCAATGTTTTTATAAAGCATTTTTGCATTGCTTTCTATTATTTATTGATGCAACATATGTATTAAAAACATGGAGTGGCTCTAAAACATAGACCTTCATTTTGGATTTCAGTAAAGCTTTTGATACCGTCTCTCACAGGATCCTGCTGGATAAAGTGTCCAGCCCACAGCTGGATAAACACATTGTGCAGTGGGTGAGCAACTGTCCCACAGGTTGCTATCAAAGGGTTACAGTCAGTGGAGTGACAGACTGGTGAGCTGTCACTAGTGGGGTTCCTCATGGTTTCATCCTCAGCCCGGTGCTTATCAACATCTTCACAAATTACTTGGACGCAGGACTATAAGGACTATCATCTGCGCAAGTGTGCAGATGATAGAAAACTAGGAGTAGCTGTTGACTCCCTTGAAGGCAGAGAGACCCTGAAGAGAGAACTTGACAAATGAGATGGCTGGGCAATCACCAACCATATGAGCTTCAGAAGTTTAGAAAGTTCCAGATTCTGCACCTGGGATGGGACAACCCTGGCTATATGGACAGACTGGGAAACAAGAAGCTGGAAAGCAGCCCAGAGTTCTGGTTGATAGGAAGTTGAATGTGAGTCAGCAATGCCCTGGCAATCAGGAGGGCCAAGCGTGTCCTGGGTACATCAGGCACAGCATCACCAGCTGGGCAAGGGAGGGGATTGTCCTGCTCTGCTCTGCACTGCTGCAGCCTCCCCTCGAGTCCTGTGTCCAGTTTTGGGTGCCACAATATAAGAAAGATATTAAGCTATTAGAGAACACCCTAAAAGAGAGCTAACAAAGGTCATGAAGGGCCTTGAGGGGAAGCTTCAAGTATGAGGAGTGGATGAGGTCACTTGGTCTCTTCAGCCTGGAGAACAGAAGACTGAGGGGAGATCTTATAGTAGTCTACAACTTATTCATGAGGGGGAGAAGGGCAGACACTGATCTTTTCTCTTGGGGTGACCAGTGACAGGACCTGACAGAATGGCCTGAAGTTGTGTCAGGGGAGGTGTAGGTTGGATGTTAGAAAAGGTTCTTCCCCAGAGGGTGGGGCAGGAGCAGGCTCCCCAGGGAAGTAGTTACAGCATCAAGCCTAACAGTTCGAGAAGTGTTTGGACAATGTGCTTGGGCACATGGTGTGACTCTTGGGTGACATGGGGATGGTCCTGTGCAGACCTGAAAGTTGGACTTGATCCTTGTGGATCTCTTAGAATTCAGTTTATTTTGCGATTCTCTGATTCATTTATGTAAACTATTTTTCTAATAATACCACCATTATCTTCAGTTCCTTGCTGTCTAGGAGAAATTTTAATTGCACAGTGTAAGCAGTGTGTGTGTGTCTAGTCACTATTTATATTACTAAAACTAAATAACTGCAAAATCTCATATTGGTCAGATCTCAGTCTTGCATTAGAAGTGTTAATCTGAGAGTTATATGGAAGTAATAATTGGCCACTCTATTTTTCACATCATCCAGGTGATGGTGCTTTATGTGGTAGCATATGTCCCCTGGAACCCTGATTTTGAATTAATGAGTGTGCCATCTATTAAAATCCTCTGATCATCACATTTCTTCAACGACTTTTGCCCCAAAATGCAGGAAGTGTGGACATGCTGAGCTTGCAGCTTCTGTTAAAATCTGCCAAAAGTCAGCTGAACAAACTGGATTAAAGTTTTAAAAGGACCAGACTGATTTAGGAGACTACATCCCGGCCATAAAAATTAATGAAATGCCAATGTGTTTAAAATGAAACCAGAATAGATGTTTTGGTAACCAAGGATGACTGAGTCAATTCTAAGGACAAGGTTACTTGAATGAAAAGGCTGAATTTGTATCCCCAGGTTTCTCTGGAAAATTCCATTTAAGCTGATAACCCAGTGTATAACATTGTTAGTTATCTCCTTGTCCTCTCTTCTATAGCCCTGTGCTGGTTTAAAAGCAAAGCAGCAGGGGATCCCAAGTCAGAACTACAGCTTAATAGGAAAATTAAAAGAAAATGCAGAAGTACAAAAACACTAATAGAGTCAGTATACAACCTGACACCCTGTCGGTCAGGCTGGTGGTAGTAGTCTGATTAAATGGTGGCTGCAGTTCTCCTGGAGTGATAGATGTGATTCTGTTAAAGCAGTGATCCTGTTGAAGGGTGTAGTTTTCCTCTGAAGTCCAGTGGTGGTGTAGATGGATCTGGTCTTCTTCTGGGAATCCAGTGGGAGAAGGCTGACTGTGGTGTTCCAAATCTCAGATTTTATTCAGGTGGGATTGCTCCTCCCCTGGGTGGAGCATCTCACAATAGGATGATGTAATTTTATCGGTCATGCAGTGAGGTTCAATGGCCCATTAAGAGAAGATATCCCCCTGGTGGGAGGATGGGTCATGGAGGAGATAAAGAACGCTGCCCCACCTGGTTTTAGCAGATGGTAATAGAATACATACCTCTGGTTACATCTTGCATTGCAACAGACAAATCCAGCCACTCTAATCAAATAGCATCGAACAGCTGGAA